TTCATTATCCGGAGAGCCTTGTGTATAGTTAGTTGTTGTTTTAGTAGCATATAGTACCAGGCTGAGGGGACAGTCTGTTACATCAGAAGCCCTTGGGCATCTGTGGCCCCAGTAGGTGGTTCAGAAACTCGAGGAGGTGTGAGAAGAGGTTGTCAAAGCCTCTTTGGTGAAGGAGTCTCTGAGGACACTGATGGGACTGGCTATTTAACAGTATTTTGAGCAGATTTTAGAGCTTTTGTTGGAGGGAGTCCCATTTAAGTTGGGCTGATTTGCAAGTATCAGCATCAGGGAGAGTAAATAAAATTTATAAATGAGGAATATGTGGCCACCAGACCCAAAGTAATACTAAATAGTATTTTTATCTAAAACTAGTCCCCAAAGGATTAAAAGGTGTTGGACTCACTGTCACAAGCGTGTCAAATGAATCTCCTTAGACGAGGTTGTCATTGATGTAACATCGCCTGTGCTCCTGGAGAGAGGTGGGTGGGTGCAGCTGAGGTCTTGGCTGCAGAGGGTGTGGGTGTTGGCAGAGCTGTTGAGCCACCCCACAGGGCAGCCTGGGGAGGAGTCCTATTTGCCTTCAGAGAGAAGGCAAACAGAGGTTGAGAGGCTGTCAAAATACACACCAGCAGAACACGTTAGCCAGATCTGTAATTGAAGAGTAATTACCGGGTTCTAATAATACTGGGTATTGGGCGTGTGGATCTTGTTAGTCAGCTTAGGCTGCCATTACTGTATGGTTAAACAGCAGCTTTATTTTCGCACAGTTCTGGAGGCTGGAAGTCCCAGTTCAGTTGCTGATAAGGATCTCTTGCTGGCCACCTTCTTGCTGTGCTATCTGACTTTTCATCTGGCTTGGAGAGGCCTTCTCTTCCTCTTAAAAGGATATGGGTCCTACCAGATCAGGGCCCTACCCCGTGACCTCATTTAACCTTAACTACCTCCTTAAAGGCCCTAAGTCCATATAGGATCACACTGGGGATTAGGGTTTAACACATGCAGTTTAGGGAGACACAATTCAGTCAGTAACAGGAACCCTAACAGATGGGACCACGGCATTAAGATTGCAGTAACTCACAGCGAGGTGCCCTGTGTTTTTTTAGGTTTAAGAACACGCACAGCTGGGCTGTCAACGTGGAGAAGCAGTGGGGATCACCACCCCTTGATTAATTAGGTCTTATATAAAAGTTTTATTCCCCAAAGACCCCTTTTCAACTTACATTGGGCTGAATTATTATTTTAACTCGGGTCTGTAGGGTCCCATTTTATCAAGCCAATTAATTTGTAAGTGCCAAAAAATTATTTTAATTGTGTATTGTGTCAGAGCATCTATGCCCAATATGGGATACTTTAGGACAGTGGGTACTAGGGCTATAGGAAATTCAGGTAAAACTACAGTCAAAGTGAGATATACCTATTTTTTCTCTTTAATATTTAGGTACTTTTTACAGTGGTGGAGTAGTGTTTCATTTTAGTGGGATCCCCAGGTATAACTATGATTTGAGCCCCTGTATTAAATTGATGAAGTTTTGTCAGTTGATGCATTTTAGCAAATTCTAAAGATAATTTAGAACCTGTGTTGTGGAGTCAGACAAACCAATTAGTGCTCTGTTTTGTTTTGGTGATAAAATTTTTTTAATATATAAGTTTTGTTATACCATATGTAGTTATTATATAATAATTATATAAATTTTAGTATATAAATTTTGGATTTCCAATTGGGTCAGTATAGACAGAGTTCTAACTTAGTTATATGTTGTATGTTATTTAAATTTTTATTCTCTCTCCCTGTTATCTAGGGGTTTTTGTTGTTGTTACTGCTTATAAATCAATAAGTAGTCTAGAACCAGTATTATGTTTGCTAGACCTGGCGTTTGCTTGATATGTAAGGTTAATAATGTGCCCCCTTCCCTTCTTTCTTCCTTTTGAGCTTTTCAGCCATTTAAAACCCTGGTTTTTAGTTTTATTTTGTCTCCTGCTGAGGAGAGGAAAGGGCGGAGGGGCCTGGGGCCTCCAAGATACAGCCTCTCCCCTGGATGGCCCTGGGCCACAGCATAACGAGCCCCTTCCTCCCCACTCCTTTTTTTTCTGCCTCCAAACAAAATCTTTTTTGGGGGGTGGGGGGGGTCACCTTTCTGCCCCCACCACCACCATTTTTCTTTCTTTTATTTGGGTATTTACCTGGTAGGCTCTTAGCAGTCCCAAGTGGCAACCACTGTGAGTGGCAGCCTGCCTTTCTAGGGAGGGGCTGGGGCTCATGCCTCAGGACAGCAGTGGTGGTGGCAGTGTCCTGACGGGGTGACAGTTTGGTGTTGAGGAAGAGCTCTCCACGTACGTGCTGGTCCGCAGCAGCACTCATGAGTGCCGGAAACACTGGCCGGGCTTACACAATCTGGAGTAGGTTGAGAAACATCCTCAGGTGTCTCAGAGGGCAGCAAAAACAATATTCCTTATTCCTTTGTTTCTCCCCCCATTATACGTTGAACTAGCAGTCTCCAGAGATGGGATCTCTTATCCGCTACGTGGTTGGGGCAAACTGCAACAACAGTAAGGCAAGCAGCCATGGCAAGGTTTGCCTGTGAAGCAGTCTAAGCCTCTTCTGTGCCATGGCATGTGTGAGGGGGGTGCCCTATGCCACTCGCATCCCTGTATTGCTCCAGGGACCAGTGCCTGGACTCTGGCCAGGTGCGCCCTCAGAGGGCAGGCAGTGCCATCAGTCTCTCACAGGGTGGTGGGCAGCTCAGTTGAGCAGCCCCCCACGGACTTCAGTGTTGTTGGCTCAGTTGATCACACTTGAATCCCAACCGTCTATTGGGGGGCCTCGGCGTTAGGCAGTAGCCAGTTACCTGGTTGCCCCGGGGTCACCAGCCCAGAAACTTGGTGTGTTGACAATGGCGAGACAGACTAAGTGCTCCGTCTCGTCCCAGATCAGGTGGCAGCTAGGGACTCACAGCCCTTGCGGACCTAGACAGGAGGAGCGCTCTTCAGAATTTTGCTGGGTATCTAAAAAAAGACTTAGCTCAATGGAGACATACCTTACTTTGACCGAAAAGAGTCAATATTTTAAATATGTGAGTTCTTTAAATTATTCCATCCATTTTAAACAACATAATGCATTTAAATTGCTTGGTACAGTCCCTGGGATATGGTAACACCCTATAAATGTTAACTTTTCAATTATTATTAAGGTTAAAAGTTCATAGTGACGTGGTGGATTGGTTAAGCATGTGGACTCAGCCACTGTTCAGCAGACTCTTCTCAGGGAGTGACACTTGAGCTGAGACCCAAAGAGAAGTAGCTGGAAGGAGCAAGGTGGGTAGAGAACAGCCTTCCAGGGAGAAGGACCAGCATGTGCAAAGGCCCTGAGGTCCTAGGGAACGTGACTCCTGACAGCTGAAGGGAGGTCTTGGTCGCTGTCGCTGAGCCCCGTGCTGAGCACGGAGCACACAGGAGAGCACATTGCTTAGTGATGACTGATGAACCCTGGACCTGACAGAGAAGCTGTCGGCGAGTCCTGGCACCTCTGCCGTCGACTTCCTGCCGAGTCTGTGTGTCTTTCCCCTGCATCTGTGTTTGGCTGTATATGACAGACCGGCTCAGTCTTCACCCTGGAGGAAATTTATTATCTCACCAGTAGGAAGCTCAGAGGTGGGGCTGGCTACCGGGTTGGTGGGTGCCAGCCCAGTTGTCTGCTTCTTCCTGGTCTAGGGCCTCGGGCAGGTTCCCTCACAGGCGACCCAGGCTGCTGCGGGACTACAGCACTGGCCGGTCCCCTCACTCAGCCATCCTGGACTAGAGCTCTCTCCTCCAGAGGGCTGGTGTAGGTCATCTGCAAGTTGGTGGAAACCAGAGTTTTCAGCCCTCCCTTGATGCCAGAATCTGGGGTGGTTTTTTTAAATCTGTAACGTATCCAGGCCTCATCTGCAGAGATTTGGTTTCTTTCTCTTTTTTTTTTTTTAATAAATAAATTTATTTATTTTTGGCTGCGTTGGGTCGTTGTTGCTCACAGACTTTTTTTTAGTTGCAGCGAGTGGGGGCTAATCTTAGTTGTGGTGTGCAGGCTTCTCACTGTGGTGGCTTCTCTTGTTGCGGAGCATGGGCTCTAGGTGCGTGGGCTTCAGTAGTTCTGGCACACGGGCTCAGTAGTTGTGGTGCACGGGCTTAGTTGCTCCGTGGCATGTGGGATCTTCCCAGACCAGGGCTTGAGCCTGTGTCCCCTGCATTGGCAGGCGGATTCTTTAACCACTGTGCCACCAGGGAAGTCCCTATTTGGTTTCAGTTGGATGTGAACCAGACATCTCAGGAGGTTTTAATGCACAGGTGGTTGAAATTCACTTGGGTTAATTAGTAAACACCTTCTGGAAGGAGGCAGTCATATTCTCTGTGTCTCTTGGCTGCAGCTGAATAGAGTTGGAACTCTGTGCAATGGAGGTCAAAGGGAATAGGTGTTGTCTACACAACCAGCACTGCAGTCTAAAGTCTTTGGATCCCAACATTGGTGGTGTTTTTTTTTCTTTTTTTTTTTTGGCTTCGTTGGGTCTTCATTGTTGCATGTGGGCTTTTCTCTGGTTGCGGCGAGCGGGGGCTATTCTTCGTTCTGGTGTCCAGGCTTCTCATTGCGGGCTTCTCTTGTTGGGAGCGTGGGTTCTAGGCGTGTGGGCTTCAGTAGTTGCAGCACACGGGCTCAGTAGTTGCGGCTCGCAGGCTCAGTAGTTGTGGCACAGGGGCTTAGTTGCTCCGTGGCATGTGGGATCTTCCCGGACCAGGGCTTGAACACGTGTCTCCTGCATTGATAGGCGGATTTTTAACCACTGCGCCACCAGGGAAGCCGCAACATTGGTGTTTTTGACCTTGGTTTCTAGGTTCCAGGTCAGGATTTCTGTGGATGGAATCAGCTTCATTCAGAGGTCTTGTCCACATCCTGAAATCCCACACTAGATCGAGGGGTTTTCTTTGTTTTCACAGAAATCCTAGCGTCTTCTTCCTTTCTCTGTAAACAGGGTGTCCTGTTCCCAGATTTGAGCTGATCTTCCAGCTGGAGCAGGGGCAGAAGCTGTGGACTGTGAAGAAAGACCTCTCCCGAAGCACCTGTCCAGGTAGGAGCCAAGATTTGGGCAGCTGGAAGACCCTGCAGGGGGAGGTCGCTGGCCCTGGTTCCTTGGGGAAGCGTCTTGTTCGGGCCTCTGTGGTGGTCTGGAGGCCACGGAGCCCTTTGACTCCAGGTCCCTCTGTCCTCCTGGAGGATAGAGGTGCATGAGCTGAGATGTGTCTTGGGCTCCAGCTGCCTGGGCTTCAAGCTTCAAGCTGCCTGGGCTTCAAGCTGTCTTGGGCTCCAGCTGCCTGGGCTTCACCGATCACCAGCTCTGTGGCCCTAGTGAACTTCGGGATCTCGTTGTGTCTTTGTATATATAAGTATGACTAAGTTAAATCTTACCTGCCATGTCAGACAGACTCCAGCATCTTGGTGCTCAGCATGTGGAAGCACTTGTTCTTTTTTTGAATTTCTTTCTTTTGCCATGCCTCGCAGCGTGCAGGATCTTAGTTCCCAGACCAGGGGTCGAACCCATGACCCCTGCAGTGGAAGCTCGGAGTCTTAACCACTGGACCACCAGGGATGTCCCTGGAAGCACTTTTTGTGAGGCACACCCGGTCCGTGTGACTGTGCATCACACAGCTGTTCAGGAACCCGGGTCCACTCTGCCGTCAGCATGTGGCTTGAAGGTTGTCCTGACCTCCTGCAGCAGGCAGAGGAGAGAGGGCAAGGAAGACTCGCACAAACACCAGCCCCCCGCTTCCACTGATAGGCACTAGGCGCTTGGCCACACTCGGGGGACGGGGCTGGGAGATGGGGCTGAGCCATGTGTCCAAGTGGAGGAGCCGATGGTTTGGCGAGTGTGGTCTGCTGCGCTCAGTCTGTTCCTGATAGTTGCTCCGTCTCCGGGTTGTTGGGGACGTGGTCACATAACGCGTTAAAGCATAAAACCGCTTAGCACAGCGTCTGCGCCGCAGTCAGTGGCTCGTGGGAAGTAAGCCGTTGGTGTCATTCATGTCCCTGTATTGTAATGAGTAACGCATCTCACGTTTCCCTCTGACCTCTGAGGAAAAGGGCCTTCCTTCCTCTCCCAGCTCCTCTCCAGCTCTCGTCTGCCTCTCCTTTCCCACCCTGTCCGTCCAGACACTCAAGAAGCCTTCCCTTGTTGCATGTCTCCCTACTCCTGTTTGGTAAAACCTGACGGTGACACTTGTCCTGCTGTGCCCCACATCTGGGCTGCTGAGGGCACTGGGGCCGCCGTATGTGGTGATGGGGCCCCTGCAGAGTCGTGCTCTTGCCCTCCTAGTCCCTCGGGCGGCCCCACCAGCCTGCGAGTGTCTGTGTGCAGCCCGTCGACAGCCCCTCAGGGGCAGTTCCTGTGTGCAGCCCGTCGACAGCCCCTCAGAGGGGCAGTTCCGAGCCTCTGCCTTCTGCTCTCTGCCCTTCTCCACCTGAATATCTCAGAGGCACCCAGTCAGCATGCCTGGCAAGGAACCCGTCACGATGCTCACTCCTTCCTCTCCCGAGTTAGAGTGCATGGTCCTGCCATCCAAGCAGATTAGAGACTGGATACAGCCCCAGAGACTGTATCCTCACCCCTCCACCTCCCTCGGCCACTGCATCCGGCCATCCTCGCAGTGACCACTTCCCCAGGACAGGTGTCTCAGCCTGTGACCCCTCATGTGTCAGCAAGTTTTCATGTTAAAAATCTATCCCCTTGTCTTGCTTGGTCTTCTACCCTTCCACACTCATTCAGACTCTCAGTCTATAGTTTTCCTTTCACCTAGTGGAAGAGGTCTTGGCCAGTTGTTGAACCATAGTCTAGAGTATACCTTTTAGGGAAATTATTTCTTCACTTACTTTCTGCTTGTTTAGCAATTTCATCCTTGCTCTGCTCAAGGTAAAAGTGTGCCCGTGTTTCTTACACTTGAAGCAAATAAAAAATGCTCCTGTTTCATATTGTATTCATCCACTCTCTGAGGCATTTAATTTTTTACATTTTTTCACCCTCACAAACAGTGCTGCCAAGAACATTCATATATATTGGTCATCTTGCACACGGTTAGGCTTGTCTTTTGTTATTTCTCGGAGTAAAATTGTTGGATTATAGGTTATGCAAATTTTCAAGTTTAGGTGATAATGTTTTCTAAAAGGGATGTACCTATTTATAATTCTCCAGATTCCACCAGTTATGTCCTGTTCAGTCCTTGATGCTGTAAGGCTCCTCAATTTTTGCTTAACAGACTGACACAAAATTATATCTTAGGTGAGCTTGCTTTGCATTTCCCTCATTCACAACCTTTAGCACCTTGTCATGTGATTATAGGCCCATTTGTACAATTGTCCCCTCGTATCCGCAGGTTCTGCCTCTGCAGATTCAACTGAGCACAGATTGAAAACATTGGGGGGAAGAGAAAATACCAGAAAGTTCAAAAAAACAAAACTTGAATTTGGGGCTTCCCTGGTGGCACAGTGGTTAAGAATCTGCCTGCCAATGTAGGGGACATGGGTTTGAGCCCTGGTCCGGGAAGATCCCCCATGCCACCGAGCAGCTAAGCCCGTGTGCCACAACTACTGAGCCTGCGCTCTAGAGTCTGTGAGCCACAACTACTGAGCCTGCGTGCCACAACTACTGAAGCCCGTGCGCCTAGAGCCTGTGCTCTGCAACAAGAGAAGCCACCGCAATGAGAAGCCTGCACGCCGTACCTAGAGAAAGCCCACATGCAGCAACAAAGGCCCAGTGCAGCCAAAAAAAAAAAAAAAAAAACTTGGGGCTTCCCTGGTGGCACAGTGGTTGAGAGTCTGCCTGCTGTTGCAGGGGACACGGGTTCGTGCCCCGGTCTGGGAAGATCCCACATGCTGCGGAGCGGCTGGGCCTGTGAGCCATGGCCGCAGACCCTGCGCTTCCGGAGCCTGTGCTCCGCAACGGGAGAGGCCACAACAATGAGAAGCCCATATACCGCAAAAAAAAAAAACACTTGAATTTGCCTTGTGCTGGCAACTATTTATCAATATATAGCATTTACATTGTATTAGATATTATAAGCAATCTAGAGATGATTTAAGGTACACAGGAGGATGTGTGTAGGTTATATGCAAATACTCCACCATTTTATATAAAGGACTTGAGCATCTGCAGATTTTAGTATTGAGCAGGGGGTTTCTGGAACCAGTTAATCTGCTGTGGATACTGAGAAACAACTTCTTTGAAATGTCATTTCATGGAAAATGCCTGTTTCTGTTACCTTGTTTCTCTTTTGTTTGTAGGGATTTTTTTTGTACATTCTTGATACTTTTATCAGTTATAGATGCTGCTCTATCCCCAATATCAAAAATATATTCTTGTTTTATTCTAAGATGTTCTAAGCTTGGCACTTGACATTTAACTCTTTTTGGTCTGAGGTAGAATTTGAGTATAGTGTGAGATAGGAATACAGTTTTTTAGGTTTTTTTTACTTTTTTAAATTAATTTTTTTATGATCCTTTTAATGTGTTGTTGGATTCTGTTTGCTAGTGTTTTGTTTTGTTTTTGAGGTCGAATGAGACAATTTATAAGTTCCCTTAGTAAAACCTTGAAGGAGATGAAAAAAGAAGTACACAAAGAATACTAAAGAGCTGGGGGAAGAGCAGAAATCAAGAGAGGGAGATAAGTTTAGGTGGTTACTAGTGTCAAACTTTGCAGTGCGTCATAATTATAGTTACTGTGTTCAATGTTAATTCTCTCCCCAAAATAATTTCTGAAGATTGTACTTTCACATCTCTTTTGCTTCCACTTCTGTCATGCTGGCTTCTTTTATTGGTGGGATAACAGGCATACTTCAGAGAGATGCATGTTCGGTTCAGGACCACCATCATTAGGTGGCCATGCGGTTCCCTCATCTCCTTTTTTCTTTATACTGATGAGTAGCATTCTTCATCACAAATGGAAGGTGGTGTGCTGGAAAAATAACATGGAGCTCCAAGGCCCAGAAGCAGCATGGGGTAGAGTTTTGTGACCTCAGATTCATTGTGATCCCAGTAGTGTCTGTCTTTTGTAGCCTCCTCTCATGTCTTCTTTCCTTGTTCAACTCTTTTAACGTGTTGCCATCCTTGATCCAATATGGAAAATTTAGTCTGTTTCCACAAACTGATTTCACCAGGAGTCCCTCATGTGATGACGTTCTGTCAGATTCTCTTGGTGTGTGAACTGTCTTCAGGTTCAACATACGAATCAAGTTTGGAGGTTGGGGTCCATCCTTCTAGTGTTGGAGGGTCTCCTGCAGAGGCAGGGAGAGGCTGTGGCTCACCGTGGGGACAAGGACACTGACAGCAGAAGTTTAGGGAAGTACTCCTTGGTGTGAGCCATCCCAGAGTCTCTGCTAGTATTTTGTTGAGGATTTTTGCATCTATATTCATCAGTGATATTGGTCTGTAATTTTCTTTTTTTGTGTGGTATCTTTGTCTGGTTTTGGTATCAGGGTGATGGTGGCCTCATAGAATGAGTTTGGGAGTGTTCCTTCCTCTGCAATTTTTGGGAAGAGTTTGAGAAGGATAGGTGTTAGCTCTTCTCTAACTGTTTGATAGAATTCACCTGTGAAGCCACGTGGTCCTGGACTTTTGTTTGTTGGAAGATTTTTAATCAGTTTCAATTTCATTACTTGTGATTGGTCTGTTCATATTTTCTATTTCTTCCTGGTTCAGTCTTGGAAGGTTATACCTTTCTAAGAGTTTGTCCATTTCTTCCAGGTTGTCCGTTTTATTGGCATACAGTTGCTTGTAGGTAGTCTCTTAGGATGCTTTGCATTTCTACGGTGTTTGTTGTAACTTATCCTTTTTCATTTCTAATTTTATTGATTTGAGTCCTTTCCCTCTTTTTGATGAGTCTGGCTAATGGTTTATCGATTTTGTTTATCTTCTCAAAGAACCAGCTTTTAGTTTCATTGATCTTTGCTAATGTTTTCTTTGTTTATGTTTCATTTATTTCTGCTCTGATCTTTATGATTTCTTTCCTTCTGCAGACTTTTTTTGGGGGGGTTTGTTTGTTCTTCTTTCTCTAGTTCCTTTAGGTGTAAGGTTAGATTGTTTGAGATTTTTCTTGTTTCTTGAGGTAGGCTTGTATTGCTATAAACTTCCCTCTTAGAACTGCTTTTGCTGCATCCCATAGGTTTTGGATCTTCGTGTTTTCATTGTCATTTGTCTCTAGGTATTTTTTGATTTCTTCAGTGATCTCTTGGTTATTTAATAACGTACTGTTTAGCCTCCATGTGTTTGTGTTTTTTACGTTTTTTTCTCTGTAACTGATTTCTAATCTCAGCATTATGGTCAGAAAAGATGCTTGATATGATTTCAGTTTTCTTAAATTTACCGAGGCTTGATTTGTGACCCAAGATGTGATCTATCCTGGAGAATGTTCCATGTGCACTTGAGAAGAAAGTGTAATCTGCTATTTTTGGATGGAATGTCCTATAAATATCAAATCTATCTGGTCTATTGTGTCATTTAAAGCTTGTGTTTCCTTATTAATTTTCTGTTTGGATGATCTGTCCATTGGTGTAAGTGAGGTGTTAAAGTCCCACACTATTATTGTGTTACTGTTGATTTCCTCTTTTATAGCTGTTAGCAGATGCCTTATGTATTAAGGTGCTCCTGTGTTGGGTGCATATGTATTTATAATTGTTATATTTTCTTCTTGGATTGATTCCTTGTTCATTATGTAGTGTCCTTCCTTGTCTCTTCTAACATTTATTTTAAAGCCTATTTTATCTGATTACGAGTATTGCTACTCTAGCTGTCTTTTGATTTCCATTTGCATGGAATATCTTTTTCCATCCCCTCACTTTCACTCTGTATGTGTCCCTAGGTCTGAAGTGAGTCTCTTGTAGACAGAATATGTACGGGTCTTGTTTTTGTATCCATTCAGCAAGCCTGTGTCTTTTGGTTGGAGCATTTAATCCATTCACATTTAAGGTAATTTTCAATATGTATGTTCCTATGACCATTTTCTTAATTGTTTGTTTTTGTAGGTCCTTTTCTTTTGTGTTTCCCACTTAGAGAAGTTCCTTTAGCATTTGTTGTAGAGCCGGTTTGGTGGTGCTGAATTCTCTTAGCTTTTGCTTGTCTGTAAAGCTTTTGATTTCTCCATCGAATCTGAATGAGATCTTTGCCAGGTAGAGTAATCTTGGTTGTAGATTCTTCCCTTTCATCACTTTAAGTATATCATTCCACTCCCTTCTGGCTTGTAGAGTTTCTGCTGAGAAATCAGCTGTTAACCTTATGGGAGTTCCCTTGTATGTTAATTGTCGTTTTTCCCTTGCTGCTTTCAATAATTTTTCTTTGTCTTTAATTTTTGCCAATTTGATTGCTATGTGTCTTGACATGTTTCTCCTTGGGTTTATCCTGTATGGGGCTCTCTGCGCTTCCTGGACTTGGGTGGCTATTTCCTTTCCCATGTTAGGGAAGTTTTCGACTATAATCTCTTCAAATATTTTCTCTGGTCCTTTCTCTCTCTCGTCTCCTTCTGGGACCCCTATAATGCAAATGTTGTTGCATTTAATGTGGTCCCAGAGGTCTCTTAGGCTGTCTTCATCTCTTTTCATTCTTTTTTTTTCTTCTGTTCTGCAGCAGTGAATTCCACCATTCTGTCTTCCAGGTCACTTATCCGTTCTTCTGCCTCAGTTATCCTGCTGTTGATTCCTTCTAGTGTATTTTTCATTTCAGTTATTGTATTGTTCATCTCTGTTTGTTTGTTCTTTAATCCTTCTAGGTCTTTGTTAAACATTTCTTGCACCTTTTCGATCTTTGCCTCCATTTTTTTTCCAAGGTCCTGGATCATCTTCACTATCAGTATTCTGAATTCTTTTTCTGGAAGGTTGCCTATCTCCACTTCATTTTGTTGTTTTTCTGGGGTTTTATCGTGTTCCTTCATCTGGTACATAGCCTTCTGCCTTTTCATCTTGTCTGTCTTTCTGTGAATGTGGTTTTTGTTCCACAGGCTGCAGGATTGTAGTTCTTGCTTCTGCTGTCTGCCCTCTGGTGGATGAGGCTATCTAAGAGGCTTGTCTAATTTATTTATTTTTATTTATTTTATTTTTTTGGCTGTGTTGGGTCTTTGTTGCTGCGTGCGGGCTTTCTCTAGTTGTGGCGAGTGGGGGCTACTCTTTGTTGCAGTGTGCGGGCTTCTCATTGCGGTGGCTTCTCGTTGCAGAGCATGGGCTCTAGGCGCACAGGCTTCAGTAGTTGTGGCGCACGGGCTTAGTTGTTCCACAGCATGTGGGATTTTCCCGGACCAGGGATCCAACCCATGTCCCTTGCATTGGCAGGTGGGTTCTTAACCACTGTGCCACCAGGGAAGTCCTCTGTATAAGTTTTAAGTCATACAGCCTGATGGTTTGATTTACATATATTGTGAAATGATTACCACAGTAGGTTCAGCTGACACCCATATAGATAGAAAAAAAAGTAAAGAGGAAAAGAGAAAAGGAAAAAAAAATTTCTCCTTGTGATGAGGACTCTTAGGATTACTCTCTTAACAGTGCTTCTTTATAGCATACAGCAGTGTTAGCTACAGTTATTGAGTTGTACACTGTATCCCTAGGACTTGTTTATCTTAAAACTGGAATTTTGTACCTTTTGACCATCTTTCTCCAATTTCACCTCCCCCCACGTTAAATTCTTCATTGGTATAGCTCCTCTTTAATGTTTTCAAGTAAACTATTAATATTTTCTCCGTCTAGATCATGTGTATTTTTCTAGTCTTTTCACCAAACTGTTCGGGCATAACAGACCTAATGTGTCCATCCCAGTCCTGCTCACCTCCTGCCTTATAAGCCCTGTCCTGGGAGTCCTCACTGTAACCCAAGTCAAAACCATGGGAATCAGTTTCCCTGGATTCTTGTCAATACCATCCTCATGGCCTGGGGGGCCTTTGTACATTCTGTGTCCTAAGGCTATAGTGTCCTTCCCACCTCCTCTCTGTGGCAACTCCAGTGGTGCCAGTAGGACTCCCCTGGTCTCTTCCTGCACACAGTTAGCAAAACTCAAGGTTAGAAATACAGAACTCCAGGACTGCCAAGTCTACCCAGGTGTTGTGAACCATCTGCAAGTCGAGGGGTTTCCCAGTCCACCCCCAGGCTCAGTGATTTGCTAGGAGACTCACAAAACTCCCTAAAACCTGTTATGCTCACAAATCGTGTTTGTTACAGGCAAAAGATGCAGAGTAGAAGAGGGGCTGGAGGTGTTCCAGACACGAAGCTTCCGTGTCTTCGGCGTCTCGTTACCTCCTGGAATCGATATCTGGCAGTATGTGCACGGAGTGTTGCCAACCCAGGAAACTCACCAGAGCCTCGGTATGCAGATTTTTGTTGAGTTTTCATTACAGAAGCATGATTGATTGAGTCATTGTACATGGGACTCAGTCTCCACCCTTCTTCCCTTTCCAGAGATCCAGCTGATAACTCGTGGTTCAAAGCCCCAGCTTTCTAATTACATGTTTGGTCTTTCTGCTGTGCCCAGACCTTACCCAGACCTAATGTCATCTCTTTAGCATAAACTATCTAGGGGCTCATAGTGAGTCATCTGTTGTTGTAAAGTATCATGTACATCCCTAGGGACTCACCATGAACAACAAAGACATGCCTGTCTCTCTGGAGATACCCAGTTTACAGGTTACTTCCTTAGAGCTGGGGCAAGGACCATACTTCTCTTTGGAGATAGTTGAATTGGCATTATACACTTCCTGTCCTTTATCAGGGCTGCATTAGATGCCTTTCCCTAGTGGGTTTTTTTTGGTGTTTTTTTTTTCAGCCGTGCCACTTGGCTTGTGGGATTGTAGTTCCCCCACCTGGGATTGAACCTGGGCCTGGCAGGAAGTGAAAGCACAGAGTCCTAACCACTGTACCATTATGGAATTCCCTTTTCCTCGTGTTCTTACAGCAACATGGGATGTCTTTGATTAAAGGAAACTGAAAGCCCACAGAGGCATTATTACTCTGTCCAGCCAAGCCTGTGAAATTGTGGCGTTATGTCCATTGCAGACTCTCTTACTGGGTCTGGCTTTCAAGGTGTCAGCAGTCTAATGACCAAGAAAGAAAGAAGTTACAATGTTGAGATTCAGAGGTAGCAAAACAGACACAGAGGCACTGTTTTCATCTTTATCTTTTTCACTGAAATGCTGATTTTGTTTCTTCCTTGTTGGTATTACTAATGGCCTTGTTTATTGGGTTTCTTTCAGTTGACAAAGGAAAACCCAAGACCACAGAACCTACCACTTGTGAGCCAACCCTATTTGAGGGAGCCTCTATCCAGGAACTAATACAAGGAGGCCCAGGGGACTCCCAGTTTGGACAAACCAAGGATCAGGATGGGCTGTTGGAAATGCAGGAAGGACACTTGGGACCAGGGATGGACCCCCAGAGGGAGAAGCTTCCTGAGAAAATGAGTCCTGAACATGGCAGCTTAGGGACAGCTGGTGGTGTGTGTTCAAGGATTGTAGAGGAGCTGGTCCCTGCAGGAGGTGCTGTCCATGACCATGACTTATGTGGATCTGGTAATGATCACATGATTCAGGAAGAGGAAAGTGTCTTTAAATGCAGCGAATGTGGGAAAGTTTTTAACAAGAAACACCTTCTTGCTGGACATGAAAAGATTCACTCTGGTGTGAAGCCCTATGAATGCACAGAGTGTGGGAAAACCTTTATTAAGAGCACACACCTCCTCCAGCACCACATGATCCACACCGGGGAGAGGCCCTATGAGTGCACAGAGTGCGGGAAGGCCTTCAACCGCAGGTCCTACCTTACACAACACCAGCGGATTCACACTGGAGAGAAGCCTTACAAGTGCAATGAATGTGGAAAGGCCTTCACCCACCGCTCCAACTTTGTCTTACATAAGAGGAGACACACCGGGGAAAAACCCTTTGTGTGCAAAGAATGTGGGCAAGTCTTCCGACATAGGCCAGGATTCCTTCGACATCACATCATCCACAGTGGTGAGAATCCGTATGAGTGCTTTGAATGTGGCAAGGTTTTTAAACACAAGTCATACCTCATGTGGCACCAGCAGACTCACACTGGGGAGAAGCCCTACGAGTGCAGTGAATGCGGTAAAGCCTTCTGTGAGAGCGCAGCCCTCATTCACCACTATGTCATCCACACTGGGGAGAAGCCCTTTGAATGCCTCGAGTGTGGGAAGGCCTTCAACCACAGATCATACCTCAAGAGGCACCAGCGGATTCACACTGGGGAGAAGCCTTTTGTGTGCACTGAATGTGGAAGGGCCTTCACCCACTGCTCCACTTTTATCTTGCATAAACGGGCCCACACTGGAGAGAAACCTTTTGAGTGCAAAGAATGTGGGAAAGCCTTTAGCACTAGGAAAGACCTCATTCGGCACTTCAGCATCCACACTGGGGAGAAGCCCTTTGAGTGCACGGAGTGTGGGAAGGCCTTCAACCGCAGGTCAGGCCTCACCAGGCACCAGCGGATTCACAGTGGAGAGAAGCCCTATGAATGCATGGAGTGTGGGAAGTCCTTTTGCTGGAGCACAAACCTCATTCGACATGCCATCATCCACACCGGAGAGAAGCCTTATAAGTGCAGTGAATGTGGAAAGGCCTTCAGTCGTAGCTCATCCCTCACTCAGCATCAAAGGATTCATACTGGGAGAAACCCTGTCAGTGTGACAGATGTAGGAAGAACCTTCACCAGTGGGCAAACCTCAGTCACCCTCCGAGAACTCCTGTTGGGCAAAGAGTTTTTGAATGTAAACACCGAGGAAAATCTTTTGCAGGAGAAAACACCTACCATTACATCTGATCGTACATACCAAAGAGAAACCCCACAAGTATCTTCTCTGTGAGAAAACCTGTCACGGATCATCAGTAGTTGTGTAAAGACGCATTGTAGAAATTGACCCAGCCTAGAGCCTTACTCTGCATCTGAGAGTTCATCTGTGAGGGAGAGACCAGTGTTTATTGTGCACTAAGGAAAACTTTAGCTACGTTTTTCCCTTAGTTTACACTGTAGTGTTATCTCAGGAATTTTTATAAAACGAAGGTGGAAACTTAGATGAAAAAATGAAATGCAAACATAGTTTGAGACTTCTCTGTCAAGGTTATGGCACTTTGTCATGGATCCCTTAGTTTACTTGGGGTGAGGGGAATGTTATTTCACAGGCAAAGGGCCTTGACCCTTTATGTGTCTTATATATACATTCGTTGCTGTCCAGTATTGGGAGAGTTAGACACTTGAAGCCAGGTATTTAAGTAGATAAAGATACACATATGACACACGGGCACGTTTTATTGCACCAGTTAAGACTGTTTCAGGCTTTGGTTTTTTTAAAAAACAAACGGTTCTTTTGGTGGTTTTAAACACCAGACATTCAGACTTTTTATTGATTCAATCTGTTGTTTAATTTCTGTAGCTATACGGTAAATCTTAAAATTGGGTAAAGTGAATACTTTTATTATTTAAATTAACTCCGCTTTCTAGTTCCTTGGACTTGCCATATAAATCTTAGGATGCAAAAAAACCTTGCTCACGTGTTTATAGAAATTGATTTAAACCTGTAGAGCAGTTTGTTTAAAAGCAGCACCATGAACACAGTACATGGTATGGTGTTTCATGTATCTAAGTAATTCTTGATATTTCATTACCATTTTATAATATTGAACAATACAGGTTCTGTACATTTTTGTTAGGGTTTATGTCTAGGTTGTTGGGGTTTTTTTTTTAGTGACTTGTAAATGGCTTTTTTTTTTTTTTTTTTTTTTTTTGGGCCTCGAGGCTTGTGGGATCTTAGTTCTCCCACCAGGGATAAAACCCAGACCCCCTACAGTGAAAGCGAGGAGTCCTAACCACTGGACTGCCAGGGAATTCCCTATTGGCATTGTTTTAAACTTTCATTTCCACATGATCTTTAGTAGTATACAGAAAGATAATTGTTCTGGGGGGTGATATTTTAGTATCTTGCAGCCTTGGCTGAACTCAGTTATTTCTAGCCATTTCTTTGGATAGAATCCTTGGTATTTTCTGCATAGAAATGTCAACTGCAAATAGTTTTCTTTCTTCCTATTTGTATACGTATTATTTCTTTTTCTTATGCACTTAGCTAGGACTCTCAGTATGATGTTGAGTAAGAGTAGTAAGAGAGGACATCCTTGACTGGCTTCTGATATTAGGGGGAAAATGGTCAGTTTTTCATCAAGTACAATGTTGTAAGGTTGTTTTTTTTCCATAGAGTTTTCCTGTCAAGTCTAGAAAGTTTCCCTCTGTTAATTTGCTGAGATTTTTGCTGTCATGAATGAATGTTGGATTTTGTCAGATACTTTAGCTCCATCAGTTAATGTGATCATCTGGTTTTTCTTCTTTAGCCTATTGATATAGTGTATTACATTGAGTTTTGAATATTAAACCAGCCTTGCATCCTTGGAATAAACCCCACTTGATTGTGGAGTATAAATTTTTTAATATATATTAAAGCGTTCCATTTGATTATTTTTTTTGAGCAGGTTTTCCTATAATCTCTTGATTGATGATATGTAGTTGTCATTCTTTGCTTGTTTTTAACTACTGTCATTGTCTGGTTTTGGTGTCAAGGTGATAGTGGCTTCCCAAGTTCTGTTTTTTAGGAAGACTATGTAATTGTTTTTAATTGTTGTTTTAATGTTTCATAATATCCTCCAGTGAACCAGTTGAGCCTGGAAATTTTCTGGATACTTTTTAGTTACATATTATTTGATAAGTATGGAACTATTCAGAGTATCTGTTTTCATATTGGATAAATTGGATAGTTGGTCCTCTTCAAGGAAATGTTTCATTTCATCTAACTTTTCTTATTTGGAGACTTGTTGTGAGTATTCCCTTATTATCTTTTTAATGGCAACAGGGTCTGTACTTATATCTCATTTTATTTCTGATTTTGGAAATACGTCACCTCTCTTTTTAATCATTGTCAGTCTTAGACGTTTACCAATTTTACTGATCATTTTGAAGAACCAGCACTTTATTTTATTGATTTTTCTCTATTGCCTTTCTGGGTGTTTTTTTTGTTTATTTTGCTTTTGTTTTTTTTTTATCGCACCGCGCAGCATGTGGGATCTTAGTTCCCCGACCAGGGATCGAACCTATGCCCCCTGCATTGAGAGCACAGAGTCTTAACCACTGGCCCGCCAGGGAAGTCCCTTTACCTTTCTGTCCTTAATTTCACTGATTTCTGTTCAGATCTTTATGATATCATATCTTCTACTTTGCTTTGGTTGTATTTTGCTCTTTTTATTTTTTGAGGGATGCTAAGATTATTATTTGAAACTTTTTTTTTCTTTCCTAATGGATCATTAAGTATTATAAAGTTCCTTCAGCACCGTTCCAGCCTTATCCCAAAAGTTTTCATTACAATTTATTCAGTTCTAAATATCCCTTGATTCCCTTAGAGACTTCCTCTGACACCCATGTATTATTCAGAAGTATATTGTTTCATTTCCTACTGTTAGGAGCATTTTCTGGTATCTTTTGTTACTGATTTATTACTTGTTTCATGTTTGGTTTGTTTAAATTTGTTGAAGTTCGTTTTATGACCCAGGGTGTGGTATATCTTGTTCTGTAAGGCTTCTCGAAACGAATGTGTATTCTGCTGTTACTGGGTGAAGTTTCTATAAATGTCTGCACAATCCTCTTGGTTGGGATTATTGCTCAGATTGTTTACATCCTTGCTGACTTTCTGTGTAGTATTTCTGTCCGTTGCAGAGAGAGGGATGATGAAGTCCTGAAGTATAATTGAGAAATTGTCTATTCCTTACAAGTTCTGTAAGTTTCTGCTTCATGTATTTCAAAGTTCTGTTATTTGGTGCATACACATACAGGATTGCTATGTCATCTTGGTGTATTGACCCTTTAATCATAATAAAAGGGTTCATTTTCTTGCCTTTGAAGCATACTTTATCTGATATTAGTATAGTCACTACTGCATTTTTCTTTCTTTTATTTTTTTATTTTTTTGTGTGGTACGCGAGCCTCTCACTGTTGTGGCCTCTCCCGTTGCAGAGCACGGGCTCCGGACGGGCAGGCTCAGCAGCCATGGCTCACGGGCCCAGCCGCTCCGCGGCATGTGGGATCTTCCCGGACCGGGGCATGAACCTGTGTCCCCTGCATTGGCAGGCGGACTCTCAACCACTGTGCCACCAGGGAAGCCCACTACTGCATTTTTTTATTAATGTTTGTAGTTTATATTTTTCCATAATTTTATTTTTAACATTTACATCATTATATTTGAAGTAAGTTTCTTGTGACAGCATGTAGTTGGGGTCATACTTTTTTTTTTTAATCCATTATGCCACTTTTAATTCGTAGGTTTAGATCATTTAAAATAATTATTGATATGTTAGAGCTTAACTGTACCATTTTATTAATCTTTTTTGTGTGTGTGTTCCCTTTGTATTATTCCTCTTGTTTTCCAGTTTTTATTATTTGGGTTCCCCCACCCCATTTCCTGTGGGTTATTTTAATATTTTTTAGAATTCCATTTGATACGTCTGTAATGTTTTTGAGTATATATCTTAATTTTCTTTACGTATTGTATTATGTATACATAACTTATCACAGACTGTTACCAGCATTTTAGCACTTTGATGTATAGAAACCTTGATTCCATTAGGTTCACCTACATTCCCTATTCTTAATATAATTGTTGTATTTTCTCGTTGTATACTGAGAACTATATTGGATATTGTAATTTTTGCCTCAACTAAGTTTTTTTTTTTTTCCCCCCACAAAATTCATGAGAAGCATAGTCTGTTTACCTCTACTTTTACCATTCCATTGTTGTTTCTCCATTCTTGAAGTCCCAAGTCTTCTGTTAACATTTCCATTCTGTTCGGCAAATTTCCTGTGGCCTTTTTTCTAGGGTATGTCTGCTGTTAACAAATGTTTTTTCTTTCTTCATCTAAAAATGTCTTTATGTTCACTTCATTCCTGAAGGATATTTTTGTGCGACATAAGACTTGGGGTCCACAGTTCTTTTAGGACAAAAGAAAACATGTCTGTTTTTTCTTCTGTCAAACTCCTTTTGTCCAGCATGGTTTCAGATGAGAAACCTGCCTTTCAACTCATTGTTCCTCTATTTGAAAGGCATCCTTTCCGTCAGGTGCTTTCAAAGTGTTTTTTATTATAATATTCAGTTTATGATGTGTCCTGGCATAGCATTTTTAGGGTTTATCCTGTTTGGTGTTTTCTCAGCTTTTTGAATCATGTGGTGTATGCTCTTTGCCAAATTTGGGAGATTTTTTGTTATTTTTCAAGTATGTTTTCAACCCCACGCTTTTTCTCCTCTCAGGGACTCCAGTAACGTGAATGATAATTCTCACATTCTTGTTCCATAGGACCCTCAGGCTCCCATCTTTTTGTTTCCACCAGTCTGTTTTTCTCTGTTCCGCACATTGATTAACTTTCATTGATCTCCCTTTGAGCTCACTGGTTTCTTTCTGTCTCATATATAATCTACTATTGAGCTCACCCAGTGAGTTTTCATTTTGGTTTTTGAATTTTCCAGTTGTTTGATTTCCATTTGGTTCTTTTATACATCTTCTGTATTTTTGCCTAGCTTATAATGCCAAAGAAGGACTCTGAGAAAGCAGGCAAAACTGTATAGTCCAAGGTCAAGGTTCTCTGGTGGTTTATCTTGATGTTGGGATAGAACCCCTAGATTAACTGGAGAAATGAAAAGCCTGGTATCCACAAGAATTTCTGAGAACAGATCTTACAACTGAGACCCGTAGATTGTTCAGAGTTGTGTTTAAGGTGCCTGGATTCTCCGTGAATCCTACTGTCTTCTGCCTTGTTGCCGAAGCCAGACACACTTTGCAGCCATTTTTTCATCATCACCCACATCCAGCCACTGTCCCATTCTGTTCTTTTTTTCCTAGTAGACACTCAGTATATGTGTGTTCTAGTGAATGGCTACATGCAGCAGGGAATTTATATTATAATGTTTGGCTCCCTCACAGTGTTTACACAAAGCTGTGTATATAGTTGGCACCGTATAGAACATATGTTGACCTTGAAGAAAATCCACACAAGCTTTTATGGCCAGATCATAGTCATAATGAATGATTGTTTTGGGTCATCAAAGACCACCCTCAGTTGCAGTAATTTGCTGATTCACAGTACTCTGCGTATTTTTACAGTCAACAGCTGTGCTTATTACACCAAAAGGTGCAAAGCAAACTCAGCCAAGGGAAAAGGCACAAGGACTGAAGTCCAGAGGAAACCAGGGACAATCTGCAGTGGTCCTGTCTCAGGGAAGTCACACAGGATGGGCCTAATTTAAGCTCCATCAAGGAGTTAACAGCAATAGATTGAAATGTCTACTGGGGGGAAGCTAATTAGAGACCCAGTGCCCAGGGTTTCTTGGGGACACTCTAGCACATACCAAATTCTAGACCTCTAGAAGGATAGATAGATCTTTGGCATTAAGCCACACAGTTAAACAAAAAACCTGGGCACACTGAGCCACTCGTCGTTTGTGGGAATGATGGGAAATCTCCCAAAATCTGAGGTCCCAAACCCCAGCCCTTGCAAAGGTGAACCTTGCAAGCTCAAGAGAATAGCAGTCTCAGGCCTGCTGTGTTACGTCTTCATAGTGACTTAAATGGTACTAAGATGCTGATTAATTCAGACTTCTGTAACAAACATTAAGCAAATACAGTTTCCTACAACAAAAAGTGAGTCATAACTCTGAGGTGAAATTGTAAAAAAAAAAAAAAAATCAGTAAGCCAAAGTAGAACTTAACAAGCTAGCCAGGATTTAATTTAGTGATGACAAAGTACAGAGGCAGTCTGGTGACAAAGTTCCTTATCTCTTCCCAATATTAATATATGTATGTATATGTACGTGTATGTATGTACACCACTTGAGGCCATATATATGTATATAAATGTGTATAGACCTAATATATATGTATTTCTGTGTGTGTATATATATACAGATACATGGCTTCAAGTGGTCTGACTTGGAAATACACCCACTGCTTGCTTACGCTTATCTATAAAGATGTAAATGCCAGATCAATGCTGTGTGTTCCTATAGCACGCAAGTCAACAATTTCTTGTCTCTTTGTTCCTGCTGTTGATGCTGTTTGCCTCTGTCTTCAACAAAGAGAGAAATAAGGAATATGTGCATCATTCAGTGCACCTGACAAGATTTAATTAAAGACTTCGTTTCAGGCTTAGTCGCCTTCATGATCTATGTGTGAGTTTCCCTAGGAGAGAATGGGAGCCGGTGGCTCCAGCGGGGAGGGCCCTTGCTGGAGACATGGTGCTGGACCCCTACAGGAATCTGGTCTCTGGGAGTATGTGCCTCTCCCCTTTGTACTCACACTCTGGCCTGCAGATGACCTTTCCTGTCTCAGTTGTGGGATGGGGGGGTGGTGCGGCTCTGGAATGCTCAATGATGTCATCCTTGAGAGTTGAGGGTTAAAGATTTGTAATCTGCTCACAGGTAGGTTACACACCTCACAGGTAAAGGTCTAAATGGTAGATGGGCAACTTTGCCTCCCTCAGAGCAGTGTCAGTGCCATGGGCCCTGTGGTGTGACTTCCTGTTGGTACTTCCTGACCTGGTTCTTACCTGCTGGAAGACTTTTTAGAAAATTCCTGGCCACGCCTCCTTCCCTTTGTTTTGGATATCCATGTGTTAAAGTATGTGCTTTTATTCTGAAGTTCTAACATTTGGGACCTTGCTGATCCTGTAGAGACTGCTCCTCCTAGAGCTAGCCGATTCCTCCAGATAATTTTCCCCACTGGGTGTGCCTTTTAAATGCAAACCAGCCATTCCAGAGCCCAGACGCCACTACTACTGCCTTTACCAAGTTCTCATGCTTCAAGACCCTTCCCTAGATCCCAGGAAACTAAGGACAGCCCCTGCACTCTGAACTGTGCTGAAATTATCCCAGCTAGCTAACCCTAAACCTACTTAGCCTGCTTGCTTCCCCTGGCCCACTGCTCCCAGTGAAAATGACAACACAGTCTTTGCCTACACTTCCGCCTCCATCCTTTTGCCTCTGACTCCACACTAGTGCGTCCCCATGTGACCCTGTGGAGCATGGCGTGACCTCATCTTACAGAACTGTATTTCTTCAACGGCAATCATCTGTTGGCCTCATATCAGGATACTAAATCCTACATTTTAAAACTGCCTGAAAGCGTTAATGAGAGGATAAATACTAGGAATATAACAGAGCAAATCAGGCATTTCCAGAAACCAGGGTGTCAGTGCACCCAGCCAGATGCAATCTTTAAATTGGAACGGTGTGGAGAGTCATGGACAGAGGAAAGAACAATGCCAAGGAGAGGCTGTCCAGGTGAGCAAATAGAAAGCAGGTATTTGACAGGCCAAGGTGTTAGTAAGATGCCACTTACCTGCACCCCCAGGTGTTTGTCTTTTAGAAAGATGGTTCCAGATTCCCTTCTCAAAGTCACACACTTCAGACAATGACCAAGTGTGACTAGCTGGGGGCCACAAATTCATTAATGACAACTTCAGATAGTCTCCCTGTATGATTCCAACTTTCTGAGACGTGAAGGAAGAAACGCCTTTCTGTGTGCTGTCTCCCGAGTCCTGCTACATCATTTGTTTTCTTGTTCACCTCCTGGTTAACAGGCATCCTCATCACTTTCCTCCCTTGTCCCTTATGGCATCTGTAGCCACGTGGTCTTTCAACCTTTCTGCTTATTATTGCTCATTCTAGTTCCATTTCATGCTCTTGATTTTAGGTATAAATCTTCATACACATTTGATGTGCTCGCCTCACTTTCTCTCTCCTTGAAACCTGGAATCACAGTTAAGCAATCGTCAACATTTTCCCCATCGTAGTCTGCCCAATGTTTGCTGTACCTGTGATCTCAGCTGCCTAAAGCCTCTTTCTCATCTGCATGTTCTTTTGTCTTTCACTCTTTCTGATTTGTCCTCACACATGGCCTTGAGTGTCAGGCACCACTCTATCCCACATCTCACTTCTTTATTCCTCCCTCTCCCTTTAACTGAGGAGTCCCCTTGGACCTATTTTCCTTTCCTTGCGATTGCACTTCACCATTACCTCTTCCATTTTTCTCCACTTCCCAAGCCTCCCTACCTTGTGAACCTCCTTGGTACAGTCGCACCCTCTACACCACTCTGGGCAAGGTTGGTGGTGACTCCCATGTTTGTAAAATTTAAGCCCTTGGGGCTTCCCTGGTGGCGCGATGGTTGAGAGTCCGCCTGCTCATGCAGGGGACACGGGTTCGTGCCCCGGTCCGGGAAGATCCCACATGCCGCGGAGCAGCTAAGCTCGTGAGCCATGGCCGCCGAGCCTGCGCGTCCGGAGCCTGTGCTCCACAACGGGAGAGGCCACAACAGTGAGAGGCCCGCATACCGAAAAAAAAGAAAAAAAATTTAAGCCTTGTCTTTCTTGAGACTGAACTTGACCCCGTTGACCACTCCATTCTTGAAATACTCTTTTTCTTTGCTTCTGTAACATCACTCTCCTGGGTTTCTCTCTCCCTCTTTCTTTTTTTCTAACTTGCTAACTCATCCAATTCTAGTCACCCATTCAGTTTTGAAATTTCTAAATACTTTTCATAGGCCTTTTTCTCACTCTGTGGTCTCTCCCAAGGCTTCATCTGCACCCTTGGCTTCAGTTATCTTCTTTACTTTGAACAAATTGAAATATATTTTCCCAGTCCTGACTTATTGGAGCTCTAGACCTGAACCCCTGATTTTCTTCTTACTGTCCCCACTTGGATGTTTCAAAGATGTCTCATTCTCCACTTGACTTTTTAAAGATTCCTAAAGTGGCTTCCACTTCTCCCTGATTCTGATCTACTTTTATTTTTTTTAAAGAATGAGATAAGGCCATGTCTTTATTTTTTTTATTTTTAAATCAAATATTAAGTTTTTTAAATTTATTTTTGGCTGCGTTGGGTCTTTGTTGCTGCGCGTAGGCTTTCTCTAGTTGCAGTGAATGGGGGCTACTCTTCATTGCAGTGCACGGGCTTCTCATTGCGGTGGCTTCTCTTGCTGTGGAGCATGGGCTCTAGGCATGCGGGCTTCAGTAGTTGTGGCTCGTGGACTCTAGAGCGCAGGCTCAGTAGTTGTGGCACACGGGCTTAGTTGCTCGGTGGCATGTGGGATCTTCCCGGACCAGGGCTCGAACCCGTGTCCCCTGCATTGGCAAGCGGATTCTTAACCACTGCGTCACCAGGGAAGCCCCGATCCACTTTTAGTCTTGCCTCTACACTACATGGCACTGTTTGGTTACCAAGGATAGAAATCCCAGGGGACTTCCCTGGCAGGCCAGTAGTTAAGACTCCAGGTTTCCACTGCAGAGGGCACAGGTTTGATCCCTGGTTGAGGAACTAAGATTCCACATGCCACGCATCACAGCCAAAAAAAAAAAAAATCCCTTACTCAGCCTGGTTACCTCTGTTTCCTCATCCCCCACATGCAAAGTTGCCAGTGTTGCCTCTTTAATGCCTCTCAAGTCTATCCTCTTCTCTGTAATCCACCACTTCCTTCCTAGACCATAATACCATCATTTATCACCTCTAATTCTGTTTAGTAATTAGGTCTTGTTTTAACCGTTTCCTCTTCAATCCATTCTCCACAGTGTAACCAGAGATGAAACTTAGATTAGATGATGCATCTCACTCCCTGCTACCTGCCCAACACACACACCGTTAAAGTGTTTCATGACTTCCCTTAACTCTTGGGATAAAAACCGAATCCTTAACATAGCCCGTCCATGGGGTCTTACCTGGTAAGGGATGTGCCTAATTTACTGCCTTTTCTCTTGCACGTGTCTGACTGCTCTTCTCTCTCCACTTCCTGTTTCCGTTTCTTTTCATTTCCCCCCCTGCTGTAGGGCTCTTCCTTACCCACTTTGGCTAGTGAGTGAGTGCTTATCCTTCACATCTCACCTCAAATAACACTTCCCTAGGGAAGCCTTTACCAGAATACCCACCTAGGTCATAACTTTTCTTTTTCAGGGAAACTTTCATGGTTCTTTGCTGCCCAAGACCACCTTCAGGCTTGGTGGTTTACTAGGAGGATTCACTAGACTCAGAAGAGGTGTGATACTCATGATGACAGTTTATTACAACAAAAAGACACAGACCAAGATCACCAAAGGGAGAAGGCACGTGTAATGAAGTCCGGGAGAAACCAAGCACCGCTTCCAGGTGATCCCTCCCTGTGCAGCTCACAGGAACTCAAATTTCAGCAAAGATGTGTGACAACATGTTCAGTTATCGCCAACAAAGGAAGGTCACCCAAGCTTCAGAGTCCACAGATTCCTTTACTGAGGCTCACAGCGCCTAAGTGACCTACCATGGATACTCAGGATCCGCAGAAGGCAAAGATGTAGTGCTGCCTCAGGCAATACAAAGTCCACCCTTCATCATGAGTCACATTGTTAGCATAAATTATCTGGTCATAATGATACAGTGGGACCTACAGGCGTAAGCATAAAAATCGCTCTCACTAGTCAAGATATTCCAAGGACTCAGAAGTGGTCTTCCTGGAGCTGGTCAAGGGCAAGTCCTTATTTTTTTCTTTCTTTTTGCCACACTGCACGGCTTGTGGGATCTTAGTTCCCCAGCCAGGGATTGAACCCAGGCCCTCAGTAATGAAAGTGCAGAGTCCTAACCACTGGACCACCAGGGAAGTCCCCCACAGGTACATTTTAGAACACGTTCAGGTGCATATTAGAACCTCGTTACTATGGCTGACAAAGTTCTACACAATTTGCCTCCCTTTATCTCTCCAACTTACCTCATACCACTCTAGCCCCTGAAGATGCAGCTCTAAGCCACGCTAGCCTTGCTTTTCTGCAAACACCCCAATACACTCCGAACCCAGGAATGTCTTTCTCAAAGACCTAGGAATCCATCTCTTTGAAATGAAGACATCAAAGGAGATAGCATCCCTACATCCCAGCTTCTGTGGGAGGGTAGGAGCCTAACTTTGACAGGCACCTTGCTCCAAGTAGCAAAACTACCTCTGTCATAAAGAATTGAGAAGTTAGTTTTCCCTTCTAGAAAGCCAGTGTAACAGCAGATAGTCACCCCAATTACCAGGTAAATTTAGGGTGAACTATGTGTAACAAATGGTGCTGTCAATACTCGAGAACTAATTATTGTTTGAAAATGTATGTAATGGGTTGTGTCTGTTTGGCTATATGAAAGGGTGAGTTTTATTCTTTGCAATCTCTTAGCAGCTGTGCTGTGCATCACATTCTGGTTTAATGCTTATACAATATTAAACTTTTATTTCTCTACTATCTTTTCGGAGAGGTTTTTCTGAGTTGGAGGAGATTTTTTCCTTTTTAAATTTCCCCACCAATTCACACTATTACCTGTCTAAAAGAATTCAATTGCAAATGTTTTTGAAATTTCTGTGTATGCCAAACAAATAAATATGGGGGATGATTTTACTATTTGAGACCCAGAATGCAAACTGATTACTGGGTCCAACAAATACACTTGACCCTTGAACAAAAGGGGTTGAACTGCCTAGGTCCACTTAGGCAGGTTTTTTTCAATAGTAAATGCTATAGCACTGCACCACTTGGGGTTGTTTGAACCCCTCCCTGGATGCAGACCCGCAGATATGGAGGAATCTCAAATACTGATAAGGCAAGCTGGAACGTGGGACCATTTGCTGCAGTGCTTGCACCTGGACAAACATCTCCTCCAGCAACAAAATACAAAGAAACTATAAGGGACTAAAAATAACTGCGTGCATGTGCAGTTGGGGCAAATTATGAGCAACAAGATACAAAAAGACCAAAAACCCAACTGTCACTTCTAAGGAGCTGGGAACAGAAGCAGGGTACCAGGAGCAAAAACAAGGTACTGGGAGCAAAAACGGTACTGTGCATGCCCCCTGCACACAGCACCACCAAGGAGGTGGGCAGATTACCTAAGCCACCCCTCCAGCCCCACCCCTGGGCTCACCTCGTTTAAGGGCCCAGCCTGCCCCGCTTCAGGGAGCGAGCCAGCGAACCTGCTACTTGTTTTCTCCCTCCTGCTGCAGGAGTCCCAATAAAGCCTTACCTGAATTTCTCCTCAGGCCTCATATCAATTTCTATTGATTAGGGAGTCCAAGAACCCTGGTGGTAACACTGAGGGCCAACCATAAGTTATATGCTGAAGGTCAGCACCCTTAAATACCACCCCCGCCCCATCCCGCTTGTTCAAGGATCAGCTGTGCTGTAGTAAGTACATGAGACAGGAGGGCTGAATGCAGCTGTGGTCCGTGCCCCCACTTCAAGTGGCCCGGGCAGTCCTGGGCTGGGGGAGGCAGGTGTATTGGGGGAGGGCACACAAGCCACAGGATACTGGGGGACAGAGGCACAAATTTCGGGGAGCTCCACAGTGGTGACCCTCACATAAGCGAGTGACTGAGGAGGACCCTGGGGAGCGGCCTGAATAGGACACGCCCTTCAAGCTGGGGCCAGTTGGGCTGCACGTGGTTCTGGAGTTTGCCAACTGCATAACGTACCCCGGCAGCTTCCTACGGTGTGTTTATATTCAGCCACACCTGCGTCACGTCACTGAGTTCGTTAAAGCAGTCACTCAGTCACGGATTTATATGTTTGCTCATTCATTCAGGCTTCTTGCATTACAAACTCTCCACACCCCTCCACCCTCTCTCCCCTTCCGGTTTCTGGCGCTCCCTCCTCTCGTGTCTTTCTGCCCTGGCTCCCGCCTTCCTGTCTCCGCGCCCTGCCCTCTCATTGGCCCAGCGCCTTAAGTCCCGCCCCCCAACCACGAGCGGGAGCTCTCATTCCTGTCTCTTCTATTGGGCACGCTGCCTAAGCCTCAGACATTTCAACCAGTGGGAGTCAACCAGGAACTACCAGCTCAGCCAATGGGGCCAGAGCCCTTAGTATAAAGGGCCTGGCCCGCGTTGTCCAGGATCTTATGTAATTGAGTAGTGGGTCTGTGCGCAGGTAAGCCTCAGGGGAGCCCGCAGGCGGTGCCCGCCCAGTGACTGCCCCGAGGCTGCGTGGGAGCAAGTCGGGACTGGAAGAGCCTCAGCCTGAGGGTTACCTCCTTCCTGGACACCCAGCTCCTCAGGGCTCAGGAAGGCGTCCTCCTCACCACCATCTTGTCTAGTGAGCCTCCCGAAAACTGTGATGAAGTCAGGCAGTGCCCAGCCCGCAGGTGAAAGGGATAAGTACCAGGACCAGAGAAAGAGGGTTTAGAAGAAAGGCCTGGTGTCAGTTGTTGGGGGTGGGTGTGCACAGAAGAAAGTATTGACGTCTCTTTTCTTTTTTCCGTAGCTGTAGCAGGTCAAACGATGCCCAGCATCCCAACCATGTGAGCGCTTTTGTTTTGTATCTGAAAAAGGAAGGGGAGTGGGACCGAGGGATGAAGAGCAAGCTCCACGTGTGAAGGTTGCCTCATGGGACTGACAGTTATTGACCAAACACCCTGACAGGGCCCTTGAGAAGGGAAAGGGGCCCAGGGAGGGTAAAGTGAAAGAGGAAGGCGAGCATGAAGTTTCCCTGACTCTCCACCCACCTCCGAAACGGAGGCTCTTTTCCTTCTCTCCTATCAGGCGGCGCCTCACAATTGATGATTTTGAAATCGGGCGTCCTCTCGGCAAGGGAAAATTTGGGAATGTGTACCTGGCTCGGCTCAAGGAAAGCCATTTCATTGTGGCCCTGAAAGTCCTCTTCAAGTCCCAGATAGAGAAGGAAGGACTGGAACACCAGCTGCGCAGAGAAATTGAAATCCAGGCACATCTACAGTAAGGACAGTCTGTATGAGATTCCTGTTACAGGTTCTTTTTTTCACTTGTTCCTGTTTCCTCTTCCATCTCTGACATCTGAACTCATCATTTCCCCCAGTACTACCCCCAAATAGGCCCTTTGCTTTCACCTTGAAGATTTTTTTTTAAACATCCTTATTGGAGTATAATTGCTTTACGAAGATTTTTTTTCTCTGCAGTTCATTCCAGTTACACCATCTAAAGCTCCCTGTGTCAGACATCAGAATCTTGATGCCTGTTTCATTTTCCCCTCACAAACTTCCAGATCATGCTGTTACTATTCTGGTCCCAGCACAATTTGCCCCTTGTGTGACCAGTCACTTGTAATAGCATCATGAATTGGGCCTCAGGGAGGAGTCTTGACACTTCCTCCTTCTGTTGCGCAGACACCCCAATATCCTACGCCTGTACAACTACTTCCATGATGCACGCCGGATGTACCTGATTCTAGAATATGCTCCAAGGGGTGAGCTCTACAAGGAGCTGCAAAAGAGCCACACATTAGACGAACAGCGTACAGCCACGGTGAGGTGGGAGGCTGAGGGCTTGGCTTCATGAGTTTCCTATGGGCTGATGGGGGTCACTGCTTGTGGCGGTCATGAGTATCCAGATTGCTTTTTTCTTTATTTCTGAATTTCAATCTATAAATTTTATATAATGACTCTTATATCCTACAACTTCACATTTGGATACCCTAATTACCCCCAGAATATTAATAAATTGTGTGTGTAAGTTTGGATTCTTTGGTTGTAAGCAACAGAATCTAAGTGTGCTACCTTACGGAAAGAAACATGAAAGGCTCTACGGCAGTTCACTGAATAAATGAGTGGAACTGACTTAGAAATAGGAAGCAAGAGATTTTGGGGGGGCTCCAGATGGGAAATCACAGCAATAATCATCCCATGGCCAGCTCCATTTGCAGACTGCTTTTTCTTTGCTCACACAGGTAATGGAGGAGTTGGCAGATGCTCTGACCTACTGCCATGAAAAGAAGGTGATTCATAGGGATATTAAGCCGGAGAACCTGCTGCTGGGGTTCAGGGGTGAGGTGAAGATTGCAGACTTTGGCTGGTCTGTGCACACCCCCTCTCTAAGGTAGGTCAGGTGGTGGCACCCTGGGTGCCAGTTAAGAATGATCCAGTTTGATTTATTTCACACGTAAGATCCAGATACAAGCCTAGGTTTGTATTTAAATACTACCTTTTTCAAATGCCTATATTTAATGTGTATTTGTAGACTGAAAGAATGTGGTTCAACCATTTAACAGAGATTAATCTCTGTTAACATACAACTTTACCAATAACTTTCCATGTAAATAAATTAAGAACCATTGCTCCATAATTCCAGGAATTTTACTGTATGAATAAACCATAATTAATTTACTTCGTCCCTCTTGGTGTACCATCAGTTTGTTCCAAATCTTCCTTGTGAAAATATCCTGGATCGTGAGCTAAATAATTGTATGAAGAATTCTAAAATATGGAGGGACTTCCCTGGTGGTCCAGTGGTTAAGACTCTGTGCTTCCACTGCAGGGGGGCACGGGTTTGATCCCTGGTTGGGGAACTAAGATCCTGCATGACGTGCAGCACCTCCAAAAAAAAAAAAGTTCTAAAATATGGAGTTGGTGGATCCCAGTACTTGCCTTCTTCAAACCTTGATCTGTATTGAAATTTGGTGTTTCCAAATTCCTGTGCCTGGGAGAGGGCTGCCAGGATTTCCTAGGGTCTCCTGTCTCATTGAAAGCTGGGGAAGGAGTTTCCCTTATACTGATCCTCTGCTTAGTGCTCCTTTCTCTGCCCTCTAGGAGAAGGACAATGTGTGGGACACTGGACTACTTGCCCCCAGAAATGATTGAGGGGAGAACATACAATGAGAAGGTGGATCTATGGTGCATTGGGGTGCTCTGCTATGAGCTGCTGGTGGGAAATCCGCCCTTTGAGAGCCCCTCCCATAATGAGACCTACAGACGCATCCTCCAGGTGGGAAGGCCACACTCTGGGCATTCATGTGGGAGCTAGTCAGTGGGGGCTGGTGGGCCTGCGTAGCCCAGGGCACACACAAAGATTGTCTGCTAAGATCCCGAACAGTGCCTTGAATGGACCAAGGAAATTAACCATATTTCCCTTTCTTCTGTGGCCTCATCAGGTAGATGTAAGTTTTCCCCCATCAATGCCTTTGGGGGCTCAGGACTTGATCTCCAAGCTTCTCAGATACCAGCCCTCGGAGCGGTTGCCCTTGGTCCAGATCTTGGAGCACCCATGGGTCCGGGCCCACTCTCGGAGGGTGCTGCCCCCATCTGCTCAAATGGTTTCCTGAGCCCTGTATACCCCTAATCCTTTGTGATTGCTCATGGAGCACCCCTGGCTCTGGTATCTACTCTGTCTTTTGTTTCTTCTCTTTTAAGATGCATCTTGCTAATTAATAAAAGCTGAATCATTTTGTACCAGGTCTTTATAGTTGCATGAGTTGGTGTGTGATTGAGTAGAATCTTTATTTTATTTAGTTATTTATTTTTGGTCGCACCACACAGCATGCGGGATCTTAGTTCCCCGACCAGGGATTGAACCCACGCCCCCTGCAGTGGCAGCACAGAGTCTTACCAGGGAAGTCCCTAGAATCTTTATTTCTGTAGAAACTGTTTCCCATGAGAGCAGCCCAAAATGATGCCCTTCCTGGGCCGCAGGTTTTGTGACTTAACGACTCTTCTTGAAAACAAATTACTACTTTATGCAAATAACCACCCTGGTGGTGCATACATAACCTACCACCTATCCCAGTGGCTCCTAGACTCAACTCAACTTTCCCCATATTTTCAGGAGTACGTCATTTGTAAAACAGGACACTAATCAATCCAGAGGTCCATTCTCTTTATACTGACATCCAACATGGTGCCATCTTCAAGATAAAATGTTTCACTGCACATCAATGCCATCCAATTCTCAAATGAATTCACTAGCACTTACGCGGTGTTGTCATATTATTGCGTCAGGATAAATCATCCCTGATAATAAATGTATCTTCAACCTCTTCTGAAATCATGTGCTCTGCTTGCAGCAATTTTGGGAGTTTTCTTCCAACATTCCCCTACATCCTCCTGTTGCAGTTTTTTGTGGCAGCTGCTCCCTTCATTTACAATAAGCTTGACTGCACCAGAGTAAACATCCAGACTACTCAGCGAGGAGCTCAAACATGTTTTCTGATCATTTTGGGCATCTTTTTCACCACTGTGTCTCCTGACTAAAAACACTCCATTTAGAGTTTACCCTGTTAATGTTACTTCCACCACCATATCCTATACATTCTCCTCAATGTGAAATGTCCAGCAGATGCAGGACCACATTCCTATATGACCAGAACCACTAAGTAAATACAAGCTATTCAGCCACTCCACTCTAAGATGAACAGCCCTACCATTGCAGATCCATCATTTAAATGCTCCAAGGGAATTCCCTGGTGGGCCAGTGGTTGAAACTCCGCGCTTTCACTGTATGCAACCAAAAAAAAAAAAAAATGCTCCAAGACATTGGCTCATAGTTTTTTCACCTGCACCTTCAGTGCTCCTTGGTTCCCCAAAGTTGTGTCCCCTGTGAAGAGGCGGGTCTGTTTCAGGGCTCTGGGTCTCTTAAGTCTTTTTTCTTTTTTTCTTTTTGCCGTGCCTTGCAGCTTGTGGGATCTTAATCCCCCCACCAGGGATCGAACCCAGGTCACGGGGAGTGGAAGCGCGGAGTCCTAATTACTGGACTGCCAGGGAAGTACCCCTGGGCCTCCTAAGTCGTTTACATGGAGGAATAACGGCTCTGGAACGCGCTCCGAGGCCGGTTGTTTGTTAAGAAAAAACTACATTACCCAGAAGGCGGTGCACCGCGCGTCTCTAGCAGGCGCTGGACCAATGACGGCCCAGGGCGGGGGCATTTCCTGCGCAGGGGCGGGACTTCCGACCCCATTGGCTGTAGATGTCATTAGCGCGCGACTGTTCCGTCCACGCCAGCTGTGGGGAGGGGATAGCAGTTCTGTGGCCGCTTCTAGTGCGGCTCTTCGCAAATGAGCAGAAAGGAGGCTAGGGCTCCCCTCCGCGCATTTGAGCGAGCGGTGAGCCTCCGCTCGATCGGCCACCCAACCCAGGGCAGGGAACGGGTGGTGGTCGGCTGAGCCCGCGGTACCCGCCTCTGTCGCCGCCTCTACGGGCCCCGCTCTCTCCTCAGGGTCCCATGATGGCGTCGGCGTGGATGGACCCGACGCGGGTGAGTGGACCATGTTTCTGGCCTTGCTGCTTCTCTTCTGGTTCGGAGACGGCTCCTGAGCAGGGTGGAAGTCAAGAGAGGCGCTAGATTTCTCTTTGCAGTTGTGTTTGTGTACGACCAGTGGAGCTGGCTCGTCACTGACTTTATTTCCAGTCTTAGAACATGCGAGACTGAATATGCAAATGGAAAATAGACCGCGTGTAAAAATAGAACTTTGACAAACAACCTGCCCCGTAATCCAGTCCCTTATCTACAATCAACAACCCAGGAGTCTAGCCCGGCCTAAGTCAGACTTGCCAGAAGCCAGATTCCTATCTCTAGAGACAGTCCAGGAAGAGAAACAGTGACTTATGTAACATCGGCCCCAAATGGCCAGGACTTGATTAATAATTGACCCTTTCCCTAATCCTTGTCCCCACTTCCAACTTAAAACCAACCAGAGAAAGCCATCCATATGTGCGCCCTTAAACAATCATAGAGGATGCTGTAGGATCACCTGCCGGAGAGTTTTAATTAATTAAACGTATATCATCTGGTAGTCAATGTTGAAGCCCTAATTTTTCTATCCTTACCTACCTGCCCAAAATGTGCCCAGTAATATGAATTTATCCAGTACCAGAAATGAGTAATATTGCAGGGTTCCTAGGTATGAACCAATTTATTAGGAATTTCTAGGTCTTTAATTGAAATGTTAACTCAAGAAAGCTGTTAGGATGAAGCTAGAACGCAGAGATATGTGAGCACTGAAAGTGCAGGTGAAAAACCATGAGGCGATGTCTTGGAGCATTTAAATGATAGATCTGCATTGGTGGGGCTGTTCATCTGAGAGTGGAGTGGCTGGATTTTTTATATTTACTTAGTGGTTCTGGTCACATAGGGATGTGGTCCGGTATCTGCTGGACATTTCACATTGAGGAGAATGTATAGAATATGGTGGTGGAAGTAACATTAACAAGGAAAACTCTGTATGGAGTGTGTTTAATCAGGAGATACTGGTGAAAACGATGGCTAGGGACTTAGTTGCTTTTAGACAACATAAAGCACTCAGCATGGGGACAAGCAGGTAGTAGGACCAGTGAAGCTCAGGTACTGCTGTTGTTAACGTTATTGATATTATCATCACTTACTCAGTCCTCTGACGTCCTAGAGTTCCTTCTGTCTGCATCTCACAGTTCCAATGTCATTTCCATTGACTTGTGTCATTTTCCAATGGCTCCTGCATAGTAGGCTCCTCTCTCTTACACTATAGGCATAACTCGCTGTATTGTACTTCATAGATACTGTGTTTTTACGGATTGAAGTTTTGTGGCAACCCTGCGTCCAGCAAGCATTTCAGCATTCACTTACCTCGTGTCTCTGTGTCACATTTTGGTAGTTCTCACAGTAGTTCAGACCCTCCACCCACAAAAAGATTACAGCTCACTGAAGGCTCAAGATGATGGGTAGCATTTTTTAGCAATAAAGTACTTAAAAAAAATTTTTTTTCCTTCTTGCTTTTCAGTTTATTCCTTTTTTAAAATTTTATTTTTATTGGAGTATAGTTGCTTTACAGTATTGTGTTAGTTTATACTGTACAGCGAAGTGATTCAGCTATACGTATACATATATCCCCTCTTTTTTGGATTCCCTTCTCATTTAGGTCACCACAGAGCATTGAGTAGAGTTCCCTGTGCTAAACAGTAGGTGGCAATAAAGTACTTTTTTTAATTTTTTGGCTCCGTTGGGTCTTCATTGCTGCGCACAGGCTTTCTCTAGTTGTGGCAAGCGGGGGCTACTCTTTGTTGCAGTGCGCGGGCTCCTCACTGCGGTGGCTTCTCTTGTTGTGGAGCATGGGCTCTAGGCGTGTGGGCTTCAGTAGTTGTGGCTCTCAGGCTCTAGAGGGCAGACTCAGTAGTTGTGGCACATGGGCTTAGTTGCTCCGCGGCATGTGGGATCTTCCCAGACCAGGGATCAAACCTGTGTCCCCTGCTTTGGCAGGTGGATTCTTAACCACGGCGCCACCAGGGAAGTCCCTAAAGTAATTTTTAATTAAGGTGTCTACATTATTTTTTTAGACATAATGCTATCATACACTTAATAGACTGCAGTATAGTGTAAATATAACTTTTATATGCTCCTGGAAACCAAAAAAATCATGTGACTGGCTGTATTGGAGTGGTCTGGAACCAAACCCCCAATATCTCCAAAGTATAGCTGTATCGTATTATGTCCAAAGCATTGTCCACCTCCCCTTCAGCCCAGTGCAGAGGAAGTACCCAGTGATTAGGGCCTTGATCTTGCTGCACCTTTACCAGCGATGCAGAGACTGGCTCTGATCCCATCCAGCCATCCCAAGGCTAATGCTACTATCTCTGTTTGACATTCCAGGTGTCTGTGACGTTCGATGATGTGGCCGTGACTTTTACCCAGGAGGAGTGGGGGCAGCTGGACCTGGATCAGAGGACTCTGTACCAGGAGGTGATGCTGGAAAACTGTGGGCTTCTGGTGTCTCTGGGTAAGGCCTTGCCACTTTGCCGTGCAGAGGACCTGCCACCTCTTTTATCCCAAACTCTGGCTCCGTCTTGGCTGGTCAAGACGGCCTCAGGAGCCCTTCCTCCCTCTTCCTCACAACTTCAGTCATTTTTGAGATTCATCTCTTCCTGCCTGCTATCCCTGTGTCTCTTTGAATAAAGTTCCTTTTTGGCTCCTAGAAAATGATGGAAGGAAACAGGGGTGTTCTGCAGAACCCAAAGGCAGAATTTCTTGTTGGGCCATATGATGGACTGATGTAGGAACTGGGAACCACCAGGATTATGCCCTGACTTCTGGATCTCCTGTCCTGATTTTCCCTCTGGCTTTGTTCACGTCTCTGTCTTTTCAAAATGACTTTTGTGCCTCAGCAAGTTTGTGACAGGAGTGGCCACCCCAGTCCCTGCTCTCTGGGGCCCCAAGATACCTTGTTTCTACTTCTTTGCATACTTATATTGTTTCTCTTTTTTTCTTTCTCTGCTGCTGGGCTCCAGGGATGGAGGCAGTGCAGGAGTGGCCACCTGAGCCCATACTTCCCTGAGCCTCTACCCCAGTGCCCAGCACAGACTGGCCTCTGTCTGAGGTTCTTGTTTCACATTCCAGACAGGGAGCTGACTGGGTGGGACTGGTTGGCTCACGTATCCCCTGCAACCCAGTCCACAGGGCTGTGAGTGATGGGATGGTCTCCAGGAAGAGGGTG